TACAAACCCCCAGAAAATCCATTTTAATTGTAAGGCAACAAAATAGGAAAAATGCCAAGGGGGGTGAATACTTTCGCAAGCCACTGTATGTAACAATCCTTGGTTTGTTTTTCAGAATTCATAACATGGAAAACTAAAGGCATAGAAACCATGAATGACTTGGTAACAGGAAATACAATTATTTCCATGACAGAATTAAAAAGCAATTTTGGACTGACCAACGAAGACATTTTCAAATACATGCAACTTAAAAGTTTTATATCACGAAATTTCGATCTGAAATCTTTTGGACATCAGAGGAATGTTGAGGGAATCTTATTTGAGTGAGAAAAGGATGTTCATATGATAGGGAAGATATACCAAACCTTGCAGAGAGCCGAAAAACAACAACAATTGGAACCAAGATTTTAAAAGAACTGATGTTGCACAAGACGGAGGGAATGTTGGAGCATAATGAAATTACAGTTAACCAAAATGTTAAAACTTAATCCAGTATAAACTAATGTATAGAATGTATTATGTAAGAGACAAAATTCACAAATTCTACAGTACAAAGGCAGAGTCATGTCTTAAGCGTAAAACTAACAATGACTCAATAATTCATACCTTCTGGAAGCGCTATAAAGTCCAAAAGTCATGGGTGGAGTTACAGAGTCAGAAGTTTGAAAATATAAATGTACTTTTAATCCGTCTATCTGCATATTTCCAGACATGGCATATGGGGGTGCGGTGAGAGACCCAATGGGTTGGACCGTACTTTCTTCATCAATCATTTTGAAAAAACTTTTACTTAAAAACTGGAAATCAAATGATCCTCCATCATTAAGACAGTGGATGAAAAAATGTGGGATACAGAGAGTAACAAAACAGTACAATTTGAAGCGATATAAAGTATTACAAGCCAGGGTTGTAACGGTTCCAGGAACAGAAATGAAAATTGGAAAATAACTCAATTATTAAAGGAACAGAACCCGAACTGAAATCAAAAGTGATCTATACTGTTCTGGAACAGAACCGTTATTTTAAAAGCATGGCAACCTGTTAATAACCTTATTTTTTACATTATGGGCATTTTTTTCCAGTTCCACAAAAATTGCAACAAAGTGCCTATGCGAAGCCCTCACTCTGTCACTCAGGAACGTATTCCAGCGTCTGCCGGCCAGCTGCCCCTCCCCTCTGAAGCATAGGTTACTGCGTCTGCCGGCCAGCTGCCCCTCCCCTCTGAAGCATAGGTTACTGCGTCTGCTGGCCACCTGCCCCTCCCCTCTGAAGCATAGGTTACTGCGTCTGCCGGCCAGCTGCCCCTCCCCTCTGAAGCATAGGTTACTGCGTCTGCCGGCCAGCTGCCCCTCCCCTCTGAAGCATAGGTTACTGCGTCTGCCGGCCAGCTGCCCCTCCCCTCTGAAGCATAGGTTACTGCGTCTGCCGGCCAGCTGCCCCTCCCCTCTGAAGCATAGGTTACTGCGTCTGCCGGCCAGCTGCCCCTCCCCTCTGAAGCATAGGTTACTGCGTCTGCCGGCCAGCTGCCCATCCCCTCTGAAGCATAGGTTACTGCGTCTGCCGGCCAGCTGCCCCTCCCCTCTGAAGCATAGGTTACTGCGTCTGCCGGCCAGCTGCCCCTCCACTCTGAAGCATAGGTTACTGCGTCTGCCGGCCACCTGCCCCTCCCCTCTGAAGCATAGGTTACTGCGTCTGCCGGCCAGCTGCCCCTCCCCTCTGAAGCATAGGTTACTGCGTCTGCCGGCCAGCTGCCCCTCCCCTCTGAAGCATAGGTTACTGCGTCTGCCGGCCAGCTGCCCCTCCCCTCTGAAGCATAGGTTACTGCGTCTGCTGGCCACCTGCCCCTCCCCTCTGAAGCATAGGTTACTGCGTCTGCCGGCCAGCTGCCCCTCCCCTCTGAAGCATAGGTTACTGCGTCTGCCGGCCAGCTGCCCCTCCCCTCTGAAGCATAGGTTACTGCGTCTGCCGGCCAGCTGCCCCTCCCCTCTGAAGCATAGGTTACTGCGTCTGCCGGCCAGCTGCCCCTCCCCTCTGAAGCATAGGTTACTGGTCTGCCGGCCAGCTGCCCCTCCCCTCTGAAGCATAGGTTACTGCGTCTGCCGGCCAGCTGCCCCTCCCCTCTGAAGCATAGGTTACTGCGTCTGCCGGCCAGCTGCCCCTCCCCTCTGAAGCATAGGTTACTGCGTCTGCCGGCCAGCTGCCCCTCCCCCCTGAAGCATAGGTTACTGCGTCTGCTGGCCACCTGCCCCTCCCCTCTGAAGCATAGGTTACTGCGTCTGCCGGCCAGCTGCCCCTCCCCTCTGAAGCATAGGTTACTGCGTCTGCCGGCCAGCTGCCCCTCCCCTCTGAAGCATAGGTTACTGCGTCTGCCGGCCAGCTGCCCCTCCCCTCTGAAGCATAGGTTACTGCGTCTGCCGGCCAGCTGCCCCTCCCCTCTGAAGCATAGGTTACTGCGTCTGCCGGCCAGCTGCCCCTCCCCTCTGAAGCATAGGTTACTGCGTCTGCCGGCCAGCTGCCCCTCCCCTCTGAAGCATAGGTTACTGCGTCTGCCGGCCAGCTGCCCATCCCCTCTGAAGCATAGGTTACTGCGTCTGCCGGCCAGCTGCCCCTCCCCTCTGAAGCATAGGTTACTGCGTCTGCCGGCCAGCTGCCCCTCCACTCTGAAGCATAGGTTACTGCGTCTGCCGGCCACCTGCCCCTCCCCTCTGAAGCATAGGTTACTGCGTCTGCCGGCCAGCTGCCCCTCCCCTCTGAAGCATAGGTTACTGCGTCTGCCGGCCAGCTGCCCCTCCCCTCTGAAGCATAGGTTACTGCGTCTGCCGGCCAGCTGCCCCTCCCCTCTGAAGCATAGGTTACTGCGTCTGCCGGCCAGCTGCCCCTCCCCTCTGAAGCATAGGTTACTGCGTCTGCCGGCCAGCTGCCCCTCCCCTCTGAAGCATAGGTTACTGCGTCTGCCGGCCAGCTGCCCCTCCCCTCTGAAGCATAGGTTACTGCGTCTGCCGGCCAGCTGCCCCTCCCCTCTGAAGCATAGGTTACTGCGTCTGCCGGCCAGCTGCCCATCCCCTCTGAAGCATAGGTTACTGCGTCTGCCGGCCAGCTGCCCCTCCCCTCTGAAGCATAGGTTACTGCGTCTGCCGGCCAGCTGCCCCTCCACTCTGAAGCATAGGTTACTGCGTCTGCCGGCCACCTGCCCCTCCCCTCTGAAGCATAGGTTACTGCGTCTGCCGGCCAGCTGCCCCTCCCCTCTGAAGCATAGGTTACTGCGTCTGCCGGCCAGCTGCCCCTCCCCTCTGAAGCATAGGTTACCTGCGTCTGCCGGCCAGCTGCCCCTCCCCTCTGAAGCATAGGTTACTGCGTCTGCCGGCCAGCTGCCCCTCCCCTCTGAAGCATAGGTTACTGCGTCTGCGCCAGCTGCCCCTCCCCTCTGAAGCATAGGTTACTGCGTCTGCCGGCCAAGCTGCCCCTCCCCTCTGAAGCATAGGTTACTGCGTCTGCCGGCCAGCTGCCCCCTCCCCTATGAAGCATAGGTTACAGCGTCTGCCGGCCAGCTGCCCCTCCCCTCTGAAGCATAGGTTACTACTGCGTCTGCCGGCCATGCTGCCCCTCCCCTATGAAGCATAGGTTACAGCGTCTGCCGGCCAGCTGCCCCTCCCCTCTGAAGCATAGGTTACTGCGTCTGCCGGCCAGCTGCCCCTCCACTCTGAAGCATAGGTTACTGCGTCTGCCGGCCAGCTGCCCCTCCCCTCTGAAGCATAGGTTTACTGCGTCTGCCGGCCAGCTGCCCCTCCCCTCTGAAAGCATAGGTTTACTGCGTCTGCCGGCCAGCTGCCCCTCCCCTCTGAAGCATAGGTTACTGCGTCTGCCGGCCAGCTGCCCCTCCCCTCTGAAGCATAGGTTACTGCGTCTGCCGGCCAGCTGCCCCTCCCCTCTGAAGCATAGGTTACTGCGTCTGCCGGCCAGCTGCCCCTCCCCTATGAAGCATAGGTTACAGCGTCTGCCGGCCAGCTGCCCCTCCCCTCTGAAGCATAGGTTACAGCGTCTGCCGGCCAGCTGCCCCTCCCCTCTGAAGCATAGGTTACAGCGTCTGCCGGCCAGCTGCCCCTCCCCTATGAAGCATAGGTTACAGCGTCTGCCGGCCAGCTGCCCCTCCCCTCTGAAGCATAGGTTACTGCGTCTGCCGGCCAGCTGCCCCTCCCCTCTGAAGCATAGGTTACTGCGTCTGCTGGCCACCTGCCCCTCCCCTCTGAAGCATAGGTTACTGCGTCTGCCGGCCAGCTGCCCCTCCCCCTCTGAAGCATAGGTTACTGCGTCTGCCGGCCAGCTGCCCCTCCCCTCTGAAGCATAGGTTACTGCGTCTGCCGGCCAGCTGCCCCTCCCCTCTGAAGCATAGGTTACTGCGTCTGTGGCCACCTGCCCCTCCCCTTGAAGCTGTTTGTCTGCGGCCACTGCCCCTCCCCTCTGAAGCATAGGTTACTGCGTCTGCCGGCCAGCTGCCCCTCCCCTCTGAAGCATAGGTTACTGCGTCTGCCGGCCAGCTGCCCCTCCCCTCTGAAGCATAGGTTACTGCGTCTGCGGCCAGCTGCCCCTCCCCTCTGAAGCATAGGTTACTGCGTCTGCCGGCCAGCTGCCCCTCCCCTATGAAGCATAGGTTACAGCGTCTGCCGGCCAGCTGCCCCTCCCCTCTGAAGCATAGGTTACAGCGTCTGCCGGCCAGCTGCCCCTCCCCTCTGAAGCATAGGTTACGCGTCTGCCGGCCAGCTGCCCCTCCCCTTGAAGCATAGGTTACAGCGTCTGCCGGCCAGCTGCCCCTCCCCTCTGAAGCATAGGTTACTGCGTCTGCCGGCCAGCTGCCCCTCCCCTCTGAAGCATAGGTTACTGCGTCGCTGGCACCTGCCCCTCCCTTGAAGCATAGGTTACTCGTCTGCGGCAGCTGCCTCCCTCTGAAGAATAGGTTTACTGCGTGCCGAGGGAAGCTTGCCCTCCCTTTAAGCATAGGTTACTGGTCTGCCGGCCAGCTGCCCCTCCCCTTGAAGCATGTTACTTCGTATGCTGCACTGCCCATCCCCTCTGAAGCATAGGTTAATGCGTCTGCCGGCCAGGCCCTCCCCCTCGAAGCATAGGTTACTGCGCTGCCGGCCAGCTGCCCCCTCGAAGCATAGGTTACTGCAGTCTACGCTGGCCACGCCCTCACTTCAGGGGCAAGGTTCTGCATCTCCGGCAGCTCCCCTCCCACTCTGAAGATGGTACTGCTCTGCGGCCAAGCTGCCCCTCCCTGCAGCATAGGTTTGCTTCTGCGGCAGTACCCCTCCCTTGAAGCATTCGGTTACTGCGTCTGCCGGCCAGCTGCCCCTCCCCTCTGAAGCATAGGTTACTGTAGCCTACTGACGACGTTACAAGAGTAATTCTGAAAATTATGGAGAGATGTTTAATTAGAGAAGAATGGATTTACTTTTTCAATGCTAGTTAAGGATACTGTAGTTCTCACATTTCACATTGGATTTATTAACTACAAAAAGGTAAGACGTGTTTTTAATTCTAGTGCTGCTCTGCACACAAAACTCGGAAGTTCAAAGACATTTAAAGTTCCTCCATAGAAGCCGCTCCCCTGTAGGTATAATTCTGTGGGCCTAATTCAGATAATGCATGTCATAACAAGATGCCCAGAGCTTCAGGGCAAGCTTCCTCCATACTCTCTCGCTCTCTCCTCACCCTCGAAATGTCAGCTGCATCTTGCGCCCAACACTGTGACTGGCAGCACAGTGTGTTTGTCTTTCATTATGATTAAACCATGCTGTTACGGCAAAATACTATTTCCTATACAGATTAACTCGCTTACCCGCTCCGCAGCAAGCTGCTTTATCCGCACTGATTGGTGAAGTCAATTTAATGTCGAGCTAAATGCAAAAAATATATATATATATTTGAGAGTTTTAAAAAGGAACAGAAAGGAATGATATAAAGTGTTACTGTTTTGTTGGTTGGAACCGGTTCAGAACTTTATTTTGGTGGTCGGAACAGTGGAACGGAATGAAACGATTGGAAAATATTTTTGGTTCCAACCCCTGACTACTAGAAATATCCAAAGGATGAAACATTTGAAAAAAATGTGAAGAGACAAACAGTATGGGGATGGATGCGATGGGAACATGATATCATGAACGTTTGTTGAAATGTCTGTACGTCAGAGGTGGTGTTGTCCTTATTTATCGTGTTTCTTTATGCCGAAGGTCGGGCCAGACAACGCTATGTCGTTTAGAGGATCTATGGTTGTGAAATGTTAAGTTATCTATTGTCTTTGTCTATGTTTGTATAGTCTAAAAACCCAAATAAATAAAATCTTACCCCCCCAAAGATAAGAATGTTGGAGCATTGTAATCCATCCAAAACACTGAGAGCCTGTGATTGTACTGTCTGTTTTTGCCATGCTGGGTCGTTGCTGTGGGAAATGCTGCTGTGGTGAACCTGAACAGTATTTGATAGGACGCTATTATGTTTTTAGTCAACTTGTCTTTACCTGCCTACAGATTTTACATTTAACAGGGGCCTCCCGAGTGGCAAAGTGTTCTAAGGCACTGCATCGCAGTGCTAGCTGTGCCACTAGAGATCCTGGTTCGAGTCTGCAGAATAACCATAATGCTAGGCTACTTGTTTGTGTCTCAGTGATAATACAAGAGAGAGATAGAATATGAGTTAGCAGCATGGCAGGTGAGGTGATAAATGGTTTGTGTAGCTAGTGATGAGCGGTCCATTATTTACTGTGCCGTATGTCTGCTGATAAACAGCATTCAGCTCTGTGTTCTTCCTGATGTCTGCAGTCTGCCAGGGGACAGTATAGGTCGATAGCTAAAGAGAGCTGAGTTAATGACTCCACAGTTTCCTGGCACAGGTACAGGACATCTACTATACAGACTCACACTCTCCAGCCCTAACAGGTACAGGACATCTACTATACAGACTCACACTCTCCAGCCCTAACAGGGACTCTATTCAGTGTATATAAAACCCAGCAGAGGATGAATTTATCTGCAGAAGGGAATAAGTTACAGTATGTTTAAAACGAAAGACTCTACAGAGTACATCAGGGGTAGACAACCCTGGTCCTGGAGGGCCACAGGCACTTCATGTTTGTGATTGAACTGACCTGAAAGACCAGGGATGTTGAATTTAGTCAATCACTGAACTGATCAATCAGCTCAGCTGTTCTAGTGGGGACAACATCCTGCCGTTCCTGAGGCGTCTGAGTTGCCTTCCTCTGGAGTAATGGATTAAAGGCTAGAGACTCTAAGACAGATTAACTAAATGTATATTTAATGATAAAGTATTCTCACATTAGACCTGCAGGCAAAACTATACAGACTTATCAAATTATAATGAATCATTTCTGTCATTCATTCTCTCAGTGTCTTTGGCATTCCACTCACATACAGTAAGGGGATTTCGGAGTGAGAACATCTGAAGAGCATTCACTATAATGTGTTGTTGGAGTCCGGCATGCTAGCTGGCTGTGGCGTCTTAGCTAGCTGAATAAACTAAGTTAGTCTATCACTATAAGCAACTGCCATACACTATTATTCACTGTCAGTGAGCCACGGTTGTAAACTAGAATGGGGCTCAGCCTCACCGAAGCAGACGATGTCCATGAATCCATACATGCCGTAGCAGATCTGGAAGAGCAGGTCATGTCTCTGCCAGCGTGCCGAGGGGCTGAAGGAGGACCAGACCAGCCAGGACAGACTGGCCACCAGGAACATAGAACCCAGAACCGCTGCAGCTATCTGAACCTTCTCTATCCCCGTCAGGGAGATGGACTGCCACTGAGGGAGGGAGGGAGATACTGTAAACACAAATGCACCATTGGGTTTATTATGGATCCCCATTAGTTCCTGCCAAGGCAGCAGCTACTCTTCCTGGGGTTTATTATGGATCCCCATTAGTTCCTGCCAAGGCAGCAGCTACTCTTCCTGGGGTTTATTATGGATCCCCATTAGTTCCTGCCAAGGCAGCAGCTACTCTTCCTGGGGTCCAGCAAAATTAAGCCAGTTATATACAATTTTAAAAACATTACAATACATTCACAACAGATTTCACAACACATTAAGTATGTTCCCTCAGACCACCACTCTACTACCACATATCTACAGAATCCATGTGTACATGTGTCTAGGGTGTATGTTATCATGTGTGTGTGTGTGTGTGTGTGTGTGTGTGTGTGTGTGTGTGTATCTGTACCTGTGTGTGTGTCTCTTCACAGTCCCGCTGTTCTATAAGGTGTATTTTGATCAATTTTTTAAATCTGATTTTACTGCTTGCATGGTAGCTGACCTGTAGTGGGTTATTGGTGCTGATGGTGATGACCTGGTACTTGTAATAGCAGAGCTCACAGGCCCAGGATCCTCTCTCACTGATCCACTTGATGAGGCAGGGCTGGTGGGTACAGCGGACCGACCCACTGCAGCGACACGGGCTCAGCAGCTCCCCCTGTGCGACAGAATACATTACAAAGCAGTTGAAATCAAAGGCCCATAATATCTCAGTCACAGAGTATAGAGGAAATACAGATAATAATGTAGAGGCAGGACAGGAGGTTGCTGAGGGGAGAACGGTTCATAATAATGTCCGGAACTGAGCAAATGGAATGGCATCAAACACGTGTGTTTTATGTATATGATACCATTCCAGTGATTCCGCTCCAGTTATTACCACGAGCCTGTCCTCCCCAATGAAGGTGTCACCAATCTCCTGTGGTAGGCAGGATTTTATAGGTTACATATGTTGGCGTGGGTGACCTGACTTGGCAGGAGTGCGTGTATGTGTAGGGTATGAGTGAGTTAGCAGGAGTGTGTTGGGTAGGAATGTGTTGGCAGGGCGGGTGGTAGTTGGCAGGTCGGGTGTGAGTTGGCAGGGCGGGTGTGATTTGGCAGGAGGGGTGGTAGTTGGCAGGGCGGTGGTGGAGTTGGCAGGGCGGGTGTGAGTTGGCAGGGCGGGTGTGGAGTTGGCATGGGCGGGTGGTGAGTTGGGCAGGGCGGGTGGTAGTTGGCAGAGTGGGTGGTAGTTGGCAGGGTGGGTGGTATTTTGGCAGGGTGGGTGTAGTTGGCATGGCGGGTGGTAGTTGGCAGGGTTGGGTGGTAAGTTGCAGGGTGGGTGGTAGTTGCAGGCGGGGGTGGTAGTTGCAGGGCGGGTGGTAGTTGGCAAGGGTGGGTAGGGTAGTTGGCAGGGTGGGGTAGGTAGTTTGGCAGGGTGGGTGTATTGGCAGTGGGTGGTAGTTGGCAGGGGGGTGGTGCATGGTGGTGGTAGTTGGAAGGGTGGGTTGTAGTGTTGGCAGGGCGGGTGTGAGCTTGGCAGGGTGGGTAGTAGTGGCAGGGTGTAGGGCAGGAGTTGGCAGGGTGGTGGTAGTTGGCAGGGGGTGTGGTAGTTGGCAGGTGGGGTGGTATGTTGAGGGGGTGGTAGTTGGCAGGGGGGTGTAGTTGGCAGGGGTGGGTGGTAGTGGAGGGTGGGTGGTAGTTGGCAGGCGGGTGTGGTAGTTGGCAGGGTGGGTGGTAGTTGGCAGGGCGGGTGTGAGTTGGCAGGGGGGTGGTAGTTGGCAGGTGGGTGGTAGTTGGCAGGGGGGTGTAGTTGGGTAGGTGGGAGGGCAGGGGGTGGTAGTTGGAGGGCGGGTGTGAGTTGGCAGGGGGGTGTAGTGGGGGGGGTAGTTGGCAGGGGGGTGGTAGTTGAGGCGGGGAGTGGGGGTGAGTTGGCAGGGCGGGTGGTAGTTGGCAGGGGGGTGGAGTTGGCAGGGGGGTGGTAGTGTGGCAGGGGGTGGTGGTGGTAGTTGGCAGGGCGGGTGGTAGTTGGCAGTGAGGCAGGGGGTGTGAGTGTGGAGGGGGGGTGGGTTGGCAGGGCGGGGGTGGTGGTAGTTGGCAGGGCGGGTGTGAGTTGGCAGGGCGGGTGGTAGTTGCAGGGCGGTGTAGGTTGGCAGGGGGGTGGGTGAGTTGGCAGGGGGGTGGTAGTTGGCAGGGCGGGTGGTAGTTGGCAGGGGGGTGGTAGTTGGCAGGGGGGTGGTAGTTGGCATGGGGGGGTGGTAGTTGGCAGGGCGGGTGGTAGTGCAGGGGGTGGTAGTTGGCAGGGCGGGTGTGAGTTGGCAGGGCGGGTGTGTGAGGGGTGGTTGGAGGGGGTAGTTGAGGTGTGGTGATGCAGGGCGGGTGGTAGTTGGCAGGGTGGGTGGTAGTTGGCCAGGGGTGGGTGGTAGTTGGCAGGGTGGGTGGTAGTTGGCAGGGGTGGGTAGTTGGCAGGGGGGTGGTGAGTTGGCAGGGCGGGTGGTAGTTGGCAGGGGGGTGGTAGTTGGCAGGGTGGGTGGTAGTTGGCAGGGGGGTGGTAGTGGCAGGGGTGGAGGGGGTGAGTTGGCAGGGGGGTGTGAGTTGGCAGGGGGGGGGGGGTAGTTGGGGCAGGGCGGGTGGGTGGCAGGTGGTTAGTTGGCAGGGTGGGTTGGTAGGTGTGGAGGGCGGGGGGTGGTAGTTGGCAGGGCGGGTGTAGTTGGCAGGCGTAGGGGGGTGTGTGTAGGTGGTGAGGGGGCTGGGTGTGTTGGCAGTGGAGGGTGGGTAGTTGGCAGGGTGGGTAGTGTGGCAGGGCGGGTGTGAGTTGGCAGGGGGGGTGTGTGAGTTGGCAGGGCGGGTGGAGTTGGCAGGGCGGGTGGTAGTTGGCAGGGCGGTGTGGTGGCAGTTGGGGGTGGAGTGGCAGGCGGTGTGAGTTGGCAGGGGGGTGGTAGTTGGCAGGGTGGGTGGTAGTTGGCAGGGCGGGTGTGAGTTGGCAGGGCGGGTGGGAGTTGGCAGGGCGGGTGGTAGTTGGCAGGGTGGGTGGTAGTTGGCAGGGTGGGTGGTAGTTGGCAGGGCGGGTGGTAGTTGGCAGGGCGGGTGGTAGTTGGCAGGGTGGGTGGTAGTTGGCAGGGTGGGTGGTAGTTGGCAGGGCGGGTGGTAGTTGGCAAGGCGGGTGGTAGTTGGCAGGGCGGGTGGTAGTTGGCAGGGCGGGTGGTAGTTGGCAGGGCGGTGGTAGTTGGCAGGGCGGGTGTGAGTTGGCAGGGTGGGTGGTAGTTGGCAGGGTGGGTGGTAGTTGGCAGGGCGGGTGTGAGTTGGCAGGGTGGGTGGTTGTTGGCAGGGTTGTGTAGTGTAGGAGTGTTTACAGTAGGAGCAGAGCTCTGGCCTCTCCAGAAGGGCTCTGACTGCCTGTTGTGACACACATCACAGCCAATATAGCTACCCAATCAGATCTAAGACCTGGAGCCAGTCAACACATCCAACCCAGTCAACACATCACATCCCAGTCATCACATCACTCCCAGTCATCACAACCAAGTCAACACATCATATCCCAGTCATCACATCACTCCCAGTCATCACATCCCAGACATTACATCACCTCCCAGTCATCACATCATATCCCAGTCATCACATCCCTCCCAGTCATCACATCATATCCCAGTCATCACATCCCAGACATTACATCACATCCCAGTCAACACATCCCAGACATTACATCACATCCCAGTCAACACATCATATCCCAGTCATCACATCCCAGACATTACATCACATCCCAGTCATCACATCACATCCCAGTCATCACAACCAAGTCAACACATCATATCCCAGTCATCGCATCACATCCCAGTCATCACATCAATACTCAGTCATCACATCATATCCCAGTCATCACATCAATACTCAGTCATCACATCATATCCCAGTCATCACATCAATACTCAGTCATCACATCACCTCCCAGTCATCACATCATATCCCAGTCATCACATCACATCCCAGTCATCACATCAAAACCCAGTCATCACATCACATCCCAGTCATCACATCAATACTCAGTCATCACATCATATCCCAGTCATCACATCACCTCCCAGTCATCACATCACATCCCAGTCATCACATCAATACTCAGTCATCACATCACATCCCAGTCATCACATCAATACTCAGTCATCACATCATATACCAGTCATCACATCACATCCCAGTCATCACATCATATTTCCCAGTCATCGCATCACATCCCAGTCATCACATCAATACTCAGTCATCACATCATATCCCAGTCATCACATCAATACTCAGTCATCACATCCCAGTCATCACATCACCTCCCAGTCATCACATCACATCCCAGTCATCACATCAATACTCAGTCATCACATCATATCCCAGTCATCACATCACATCCCAGTCATCACAACCAAGTCAACACATCATATCCCAGTCATCGCATCACATCCCAGTCATCACATCAATACTCAGTCATCACATCACATCCCAGTCATCACATCATATCCCAGTCATCACATCACATCCCAGTCATCACATCACATCCCAGTCATCACATCATATCCCAGTCATCACATCACATACCAGTCATCGCATCAATACTCAGTCATCACATCATATCCCAGTCATCACATCAATACTCAGTCATCACATCACACTCCAGTCATCACATCACCTCCCAGTCATCACATCACATCCCAGTCATCACATCAATACTCAGTCATCACATCATATCCCAGTCTCACATCAATCCAGTCATCAAACCAGTCAATAACTTCATATCCCAGTCATCATCAATCCCAGTATCACATCAATACTCACATCATCATCACATCCAGTCACACATCAAACCCAGTCACTCAGTAAATAACCATCATAATAATCCATCTACTCTACCGTCTAACCTACTACCGTCTAAACCTCTACCGTCAAACTCTACCCGTCTAACATCTCTACCCTCAACTCTACCTCTAAACCTCTAACCGTCAAACCTCAACCCCGCTCAAACTCTATCCCTCTACCTCTCCGTTCAAACCTACCGCTCATAACACTCCCAGTCATCTAACATACTCTACCGTTCTCAACTCTACCGTCTCAACCTCGTCTACTACCAGCTCTAAACCTCTACCTTCTACCTCACACCTCTAAAACCTCTAACTACCCGTCTCTAAACCTCTATACGCTCTAAACTCATACCTCAACCGCTCTAAACCTCTACCTCTAAACCTCTACCGCTCTAACCTCTACCCGTCTAACCTCTACCGCTCTAAACCCTCCCTCAACCTCTCGTCTAAACCTCTACCTCTTCTACACAACCTCTCGACTCTAAAACCTCTAACACTCTAAACCTCTATCTACCCTCTAACCTCCGCTCTAAACCTCTAACCGTCTAACCTCTACCGCTCTAAACCTCTAACCTTCTAAACCTCTACCGCTCTAAACCTCTACCGCTCTAAACCTCTACCGCTCTAAACCTCTACCGCTCTAAACCTCTACCGCTCTAAACCTCTACCGCTCTAAACCTCTACCGCTCTAAACCTCTACCGCTCTAAACCTCTAACCTTCTAAACCTCTACCGCTCTAAACCTCTACCGCTCTAAACCTCTACCGCTCTAAACCTCTACCGCTCTAAACCTCTACCGCTCTAAACCTCTACCGCTCTAAACCTCTACCGCTCTAAACCTCTACCGCTCTAAACCTCTACCGCTCTAAACCTCTACCGCTCTAAACCTCTACCGCTCTAAACCTACTTAAACCTTACGCTCTAAACCCTACTTAAACTACCGCTCTAAACCTCTACCGCTCTAAACCTCTACCGCTCTAAACCTCTACCGCTCTAAACCTCTACCGCTCTAAACCTCTACCGCTCTAAACCTCTACCGCTCTAAACCTCTACCGCTCTAAACCTCTAACCTTCTAAACCTCTACCGCTCTAAACCTCTACCGCTCTAAACCTCTACCGCTCTAAACCTCTAACCGCTCTAAACCTCTACCGCTCTAACCAAACCTCTAACCGCTCTAAACCTCTACCGCTCTAAAACCTACCCTCTAACCTCTACCTTCTAAACTCTACCGCTCTAAACCTCTACAGCTCTACAACCTCTACCGCTCTAAACTCTACCCTCTACCGTCTAAACCTCTACCGCTCTAAACCTCTACCGCTCTAAACCTCTACCGCTCTAAAGCCTCTACCGCTCTAAACCTCTACCGCTCTAAACCTCTACCGCTCTAAACCTCTACCGTTCTAAACCTCTACCGCTCTAAACCTCTACCGCTCTAACCTACCTCTAACCTCTACCGCTCTAAACCTCACCGCTCAAACCTACCGCTCTAAACCTCTACCGTTCTAAACCTCTACCGCTCTAAACCTCTACCGCTCTAAACCTCTACCACTCTAAACCTCTAACCTTCTAAACCTTTCTACCTCTAAACTTTTAAACCTTTAAAACTCTAACCTCTAATTCTCTAAAACGTTAAACCTCTAAATCTTTAAACTTCTAAACCTTTAAAACTCTAAACCTCTAAATCTCTAAGCGTTTAAACCTCTAAACCTCTAAAGCTTTAAACTTCTAAGCCTCTAAGCATTTAAACCTCCAAACCTTTAAACCTCTAAATCTTTAAACCATCATGGAAACATTGAGTTGCTTTATAAAGTGCCTTCAGGTACACCAACAGCCCCAAACATGGACACCTTCAGTTGAATTATAAAACATAAGCATACTTCATAGTCACAAGATATTGACTGCAGGAGGAAGAAGAAAACAATGAGCAACAAGAGGACAATCTGATAACTAAAGACAACTGGCTGAGTTAAGAGGACAATCTGATAACTAAAGACAACTGGCTGAGTTAAGAGGACAATCTGATAACTAAAGACAACTGGCTGAGTTAAGAGGACAATCTGATAACTAAAGACAACTGGGCTGAGTTAAGAGGACCGTCTGATAACTAAAGACAACTGGCTGAGTTAAGAGGACAATCTGATAACTAAAGACAACTGGCTGAGTTAAGAGGACAATCTGATAACTAAAGACAACTGGCTGAGTTAAGAGGACAATCTGATAACTAAAGACAAACTGGCTGAGTTAAGAGGACAATCTGATAACTAAAGACAACTGGCTGAGTTAAGAGGACAATCTGATAACTAAAGACAACTGGCTGAGTTAAGAGGACAATCTGATAACTAAAGACAACTGGCTGAGTTAAGAGGACAATCTGATTACTAAAGACAACTGGCTGAGTTAAGAGGACAATCTGATAACTATAGACAACTGGCTGAGTTAAGAGGACAATCTGATAACTAAAGACAACTGGCTGAGTTAAGAGGACAATCTGATAACTATAGACAACTGGCTGAGTTAAGAGGACAATCTGATAACTAAAGACAACTGGCTGAGTTAAGAGGACAATCTGATTACTAAAGACAAGAATGGATGTCCTTTCAAATGGAAGTTATTGGAGATCTTGTGAAAAACAAGGGAGCCAGTTTGCATTACATGATGAGTTTGAGGCAATGTGGCTTCTGCGCTCTCTTAATCTTCATTATCTTCTCTCATGTTCCTCCTGAATAGTGTAGAGACCGTCTCAAAGACTGGTCAGACAAGAGCATGCCTAATGATGGGAGAGTATAGGCTACAGTACATCTTCACAGTGTTCTCTACGCTTTCAGGCAGTGTGTGAATGAGTGGGAAACAGAGTGAAAAGCATTATTAGATTTCTCATGCATGTAATTGCGTCTATGTTTTGTGTTCACAATCAACGTAACGTAGTCTGTTTTGGGAGTCCTGTTTGTCTCCTATTAATCAACCAGAGGGACAGAGGGTTTATCTACCCAGAGACCACTGACGTAGTGACCCCTGTCTACCCAGAGACCACTGACATAGTGACCCCTGTCTACCCAGAGACCACTGACGTAGTGTCCCCTGTCTACCCAGAGGCCACTGACGTGGTGACCCCTGTCTACCCAGAGGCCACTGACGTGGTGACCCCTGTCTACCCAGAGGCCACTGACGTGGTGACCCCTGTCTACCCAGAGACCACTGACGTGGTGACCCCTGTCTACCCAGAGACCACTGACGTAGTGTCCCCTGTCTACCCAGAGACCACTGACGTGGTGACCCCTGTCTACCCAGAGGCCACTGACGTAGTGTCCCCTGTCTACCCAGAGACCACTGACGTGGTGACCCCTGTCTACCCAGAGGCCACTGACGTGGTGACCCCTGTCTACCCAGAGGCCACTGACATAGTGACCCCTGTCTACCCAGAGACCACTGACATAGTGACCCCTGTCTACCCAGAGACCACTGACGTGGTGACCCCTGTCTACCCAGAGACCACTGACGTAGTGACCCCTGTCTACCCAGAGACCACTGACGTGGTGACCCCTGTCTACCCAGAGACCACTGACATAGTGACCCCTGTCTACCCAGAGACCACTGACGTGGTGACCCCTGTCTACCCAGAGGCCACTGACGTGGTGACCCCTGTCTACCCAGAGACCACTGACGTGGTGACCCCTGTCTACCCAGAGACCACTGCACCCACTGATGTAGGGCTCTCTCCATGCATGCCCTACAGATGGAGGCGGGCTGCAGGTGAGCCATTCTGAGGGTCCTGGAGCAGTGTAGGATTATTACCCAAAGGAAGTCTAAGGGCCATTTATTCTGATGTCATACCTTCTAGAAGAAGTAGCCTTTACTGAGATTAAAAGCTCCTCAGCCACATGATTCTGACACCAACCCTACCCTGGCTCTTGGGCGACGCCACCTGAGTACTCGGATCATAACAGCAAAACAAAGCCACATCCCCCTAACAGTGTTGGGTTAAGGCTCTTTATTCAATATCACCGTTTCAGGTCCCTGGAAGCAGATCCTGCAGACAGGTGACCGGATTCCGCCGCTGTCACCATAACTGCACAAGGAGAACCTCTGTTCCAGCCTGTCCTTAGAGGAGCTGCTGCAGTGTAATATCCCCGACGGCTCTGCCGCTGTGGCATCCACCCAGCCTGGTCTGTCTCTCTCCAGCCCGCTGGCGCCCCCCGGTGCCGGGGCAGTCCATTTGTCCCCCGGCCCCTGATGAGCCCTTAACGTGTCGTTGTCCGGTATACTGACGTCTGAAGGGACCCCGGTCTCACGGCTGTCCGGTATGTGTCCGGTCATGGGGATCGGTATCGTTACCGGAGCTGGTGGCCGGAGTAACAGCACCTTCAGGTCACCGAATAGGACGCAACAGCGGTTCTTCAGCATGTCCGGACCACGCAGCATCACTGAGGAATTCACAGCACCATGCGATGACACTGACGCTAAAAAGCTCCTCTACAATTCCTCAAATAAAACGTGTTGTCTACTCAGAGGAAGTGTTACCCCCAAAAGTCCAAACTGCCTTGGCACCTTTCCCATTAATACCACATTCCATTGGTGCAAACAAGTATCTGAAGCCATTGGATATGTGGGTTGTTTCGGCTATAACATCAACGAATAGTTAAAACAAGCTTTCAGAATTTCGTCCCCAAAGATTTGTCTATTCCCACAGTATCTTCCAGAGTGGTCCTAGAGACAGGCATCATCCCATTGGTTCATTGATGATGTCAGGTGGATAACCATGTTTCTCATTGATGTGCAATTCATCACAAATGTATCAAAAATCTGTCCGGATAATCCAATTTCTGTTCATAGACAAAGTTAGACAAAGCAAAACCCTGTCTGTCGTTGGAATGCTGTCCCAAGCTTCCAGTAGCCTGGCTGTTGTTCGTTTTCAATCCATCCCCATCGCTTTAGTAACCCCCGAATGTCCATGTTCAAAGAACAAAAATGGTGTGTGTGTGTATCCATATATTACACTTCATCCCAGTTTTCGGACTGTCCTAATGTTAGGTGCATGCATTCCTTGTAGGTGTCTGTCTGTGTGATCATTGGCTGCTGATTTGTGCTCGCACTGCAGTTTCAGCACCATGATTCCTGGGACAGCTCCCGAGCACAGCACGTCACCACAGCACCGAGTGATGTAGAGCGGGAGAACCATCTGCTCAGAATCATAACAGGAGGAAGCTAGCCATCGTCATTCCTGTCCATGTAGTGTCCGCATGTCCAGAATAGCCTACAAATAAGAGAATATACGCAATATATATACAATATTATAATTAAGTGTGCTTGATGAAGGCAAAGCACATCTAGATTTATTTGATCAACTATAACAATATAACATTGCATAAATTAGCATAAAATAACCCACCAACAGTAACTCTTTAACCATTCAAGTTGGACACCAAACCAACATGTTCAGGTAGAGACACCAAACCAACATGTTCAGGTAGAGACACCAAACCAACATGTTCAAGTAGAGACACCAAACCAACATGTTCAGGTAGAGACACCAAACCAACATGTTGAAGTTAGAGACACCAAACCAACATGTTCAGGTAGAGACACCAAACCAACATGTTCAGGTAGAGACACCAAACCAACATGTTGAAGTTAGAGACACCAAACCAACATGTTCAGGTAGAGACACCAAACCAACATGTTCAGGTAGAGACACCAAACCAACATGTTCAGGTAGAGACACCAAACCAACATGTTCAGGTAGAGACACCAAACCAACATGTTCAAGTTAGAGACACCAAACCAACATGTTCAGGTTAGAGACACCAAACCAACATGTTCAGGTTACAGACACCAAACCAACATGTTCAAGTAGAGACACCAAACCAACATGTTCAAGATAGAGACACCAAACCAACATGTTCAGGTAGAGACACCAAACCAACATGTTCAGGTTAGAGACACCAAACCAACATGTTCAGGTTACAGACACCAAACCAACATGTTCAAGTTAGAGACACCAAACCAACATGTTCAAGTTAGAGACACCAAACCAACATGTTCAGGTAGAGACACCAAACCAACATGTTCAGAATACAGACACCAAACCAACATGTTCAAGTTAGAGACACCAAACCAACATGTTCAGGTTAGAGACACCAAACCAACATGTTCAGGTTACAGACACCAAACCAACATGTTCAGGTAGAGACACCAAACCAACATGTTCAGGTAGAGACACCCAAACCAACATATTCAGGTTACAGACACCAAACCAACATGTTCAGGTTACAGACACCAAACCAACATGTTCAGGTAGAGACACCAAACCAACATGTTCAGGTAGAGACACCAAACCAACATGTTCAGGTAGAGACACCAAACCAACATGTTCAGGTAGAGACACCAAACCAACATGTTCAAGTTAGAGACACCAAACCAACATGTTCAGGTAGAGACACCAAACCAACATGTTCAGGTAGAGACACCAAACCAACATGTTCAGGTTAGAGACACCAAACCAACATATTCAGGTTACAGACACCAAACCAACATGTTCAGGTAGAGACACCAAACCAACATGTTCAGGTTAGAGACACCAAACCAACATGTTCAGGTAGAGACACCAAACCAACATGTTCAGGTAGAGACACCAAACCAACATGTTCAGGTTAGAGACACCAAACCAACATGTTCAGGTAGAGACACCAAACCAACATGTTCAGGTTAGAGACACCAAACCAACATGTTCAAGTTAGAGACACATTTTACATTTTACATTTTAGTCATTTAGCAGACGCTCTTATCCAGAGCGACTTACAGTTAGTGAATACATATTTTTTTATACTGGCCCCCCGTGGGAATCGAACCCACAACCCTGGTGTTGCAAACGCCATGCTCTATCAACTGAGCTACATCCCTGCCGGCCATTCCCTCCCCTACCCTGGACAACGCTGGGCCAATTGTGCGCCGCCCACGAGTCTCCCGGTCGCGGCCGGCTGCGACAGAGCCTGGATTCGAACCAGGATCTCTAGTGGCACAGTTAGCACTGCGATGCAGTGCCTTAGACCACTGCGCCACTCAGGAGCCAAACCAACATGTTCAGGTAGAGACACCAAACCAACATGTTCAGGTAGAGACACCAAACCAGCATGTTCAGGTAGAGACACCAAACCAACATGTTCAGGTAGAGACACCAAACCAACATGTTCAGGTAGAGACACCAAACCAACATGTTCAGGTTAGAGACACCAAACCAACATATTCAGGTTACAGACACCAAACCAACATGTTCAGGTAGAGACACCAAACCAACATGTTCAGGTAGAGACACCAAACCAACATGTTCAAGCTAGAGACACCAAACCAACATGTTCAGGTAGAGACACCAAACCAACATGTTCAGGTAGAGACACCAAACCAACATGTTCAGGTTAGAGACACCAAACCAACATGTTCAAGTTAGAGACACCAAACCAACATGTTCAGGTAGAGACACCAAACCAACATGTTCAAGTAGAGACACCAAACCAACATGTTCAGGTAGAGACACCAAACCAACATGTTCAGGTAGAGACACCAAACCAACATGTTCAGGTAGAGACACCAAACCAACATGTTCAGGTTAGAGACACCAAACCAACATGTTCAGGTAGAGACACCAAACCAACATGTTCAAGTAGAGACACCAAACCAACATGTTCAGGTAGAGACACCAAACCAACATGTTCAGGTAGAGACACCAAACCAACATGTTCAAGTTAGAGACACCAAACCAACATGTTCAGGTTACAGACACCAAACCAACATGTTCAGGTAGAGACACCAAACCAACATGTTCAGGTAGAGACACCAAACAAACATGTTCAGGTTAGAGACACCAAACCAACATGTTCAGGTAGAGACACCAAACCAACATGTTCAGGTAGAGACACCAAACCAACATGTTCAGGTTAGAGACACCAAACCAACATGTTCAAGTTAGAGACACCAAACCAACATGTTCAGGTAGAGACACCAAACCAACATGTTCAAGTTAGAGACACCAAACCAACATGTTCAGGTTACAGACACCAAACCAACATGTTCAGGTAGAGACACCAAACCAACATGTTCAGGTAGAGACACCAAACAAAAATGTTCAGGTTAGAGACACCAAACCAACATGTTGAGGTAGAGACACCAAACCAACATGTTCAGGTAGAGACACCAAACCAACATGTTCAGGTAGAGACACCAAACCAACATGTTCAGGTTAGAGACACCAAACCAACATGTTCAAGTTAGAGACACCAAACCAACATGTTCAGGTAGAGACACCAAACCAACATGTTCAAGTTAGAGACACCAAACCAACATGTTCAGGTAGAGACACCAAACAAACATGTTCAGGTTAGAGACACCAAACCAACATGTTCAAGTTAGATACACCAAACCAACATGTTCAAGTTAGAGACACCAAACCAACATGTTCAAGTAGAGACACCAAACCAACATGTTCAGGTAGAGACACCAAACCAACATGTTGAAGTTAGAGACACCAAACCAACATGTTCAGGTTAGAGACACCAAACCAACATGTTCAGGTTAGAGACACCAAACCAACATGTTCAGGTAGAGACACCAAACCAACATGTTCAAGTAGAGACACCAAACCAACATGTTCAGGTAGAGACACCAAACAAACATGTTCAAGTTGGAGACATCAAACCAACATGTTCAGGTAGAGACACCAAACCAACATGTTCAGGTAGAGACACGAAACCAACATGTTCAAGTTAGAGACACCAAACCAACATGTTCAGGTAGAGACACCAAACCAACATGTTCAGGTAGAGACACCAAACCAACATGTTCAGGTTAGAGACACCAAACCAACATGTTCAGGTTAGAGACACCAAACCAACATGTTCAGGTAGAGTGTGTTGACTCTTAAACCAGTCACTACCATTACTACTGTAGACACTACCATTACTATAACTATAACCAGTCACTACCACTACTATAACTATAACCAGTCACTACCACTACTATAACTATAACCAGTCACTACCATTACTATAACCAGTCACTACCACTACTAGAAACTATCAACCAAGTCACTACCATGACTAATAACTATTAACCAGTCACTACCACTACTATAACTATCAAACCCAAAGGTGCACTACCATTACTACTGTAGACACTACCACTATTTTAACTATAACCAGTCACTACCACTACTATAAACGATAACGCAGTCACCTAACCATTACTACTGTAGACACTACACTACTAAAATAACCAGTACTACCACTACTATAACTAAACTAGTCACTCCACTACTATAACTATAACCAGTCACTACATTACTATAACTTAACCAGTCACTACCATTACTACTGAGTCACTACCACTATAAAACTATAACCAGTCACTACCATTACTACTGAGACACTACC